TGGGCAATCCTACTTCCGTAGTGATACTGCCTCGGAAACCCAAGGAGGGGTCGCTATGAGTCGGGGCCGACTCGACGGCACATAACAACAACAACAACAGCATATATACAAATATAGTGAAATCTTAATTATACTATACCTTTTCTTCTAGCTTTTGTGACAGAAAAAGGATTGCACCATCAAACACTTTTGCTTTGTTGAAAAGTTCACTATGACTGTAAAGCAAAGCAATTCTCAGTCTTCTAGATTCTAAATCTGGATTATATGTCACACGGTACTGATACAGTTGCCAGTTCTGAGGTAAATCTAAATTAAAGAGATTTGTGACCAGTTTCACCGGTATTCCACTAGAACCTGAAAAATTACAAATTTTTCATATAAAAATCTTGTCATATTAATATTAATTACATTATTAATAAAAACATTTATTTCTATATGCATAGTCATTCCTGTATAGCAAGGATTCTTCTTCAGTGACACAAAATAAGTTGTCTAAATTGCAGCCTGATAACTTTATGGAGTCCTAAAAGCACATCATTGGGAAGTTAAAAAGGGATCTTGTATGAAGCAGCTTCATAAGAAACAACAGCAGACACAAACATTCTGGTCTCTGTCTGGGAGAAGAGATGCATCCAAATTCAACAATCCCAGAACTCCTAAAGCATCCCTCCAATACTATGCAAGTAAAATTAGCTTGAGAAATATTTTCAGATGATTACAAAATTCTTACCAACTTCTTGCTAATGCAGATAAATGAAAGTTCACTGTACTCTGAATTCAGACTTTCTGGAGCCATGGAAGCTGGATAAATCCCTGAAACTATTGCCCTGAGATAATCTTTACACCTTATAACAAAAATATCCCCTGAAGGCTTCTTTAAACCAAACAACAGTTTGACTGTTGAGTAAAGAATGTCTGCCTTGAGCATTGTCCTTTTTAAGAACTATCTATGTGGGATCAAATTGACAACAGCAACTCAAGAGATCAGATAGCAAAGTTAGAGAGTAGTGAGTTTATGTTAATGGAGGAGGAACAACTCAGAAAAGGAAGGTGAGAATGGTTGCAAAACTTGAAGAATGTAATCAGTTCCCTGGCATTTGTACATGTAGAAATTGTTGAATTGGTATGCGTTTTGCTGTGTATATTCTCAACAATAACAAAATTAAATTAAGTTAAAAAAATAAATAAATTTAATTAATTTAAACAAAACAAAAAGAAGTGATCTATAATCTGAGTTTCTGTTAGAAGTGATGAAAAATTTGGAAATGGACAGTGGTAATACTGTGGAAGGTGGAGAACGTAATCAATGTCACTGAATTGTACACATGAAAAGGATCGAAATGGTAAATGTTTTGTTATATATATATTTCACCACAATAAAAAAAAAATTGGCCTTAACTTCTGAAAATCTCTGTGCCTAAAGAATTAATGTTTTATCCCCAGTGGCTAGACTGCTGCACATGGCCTAGAGGAGGCCCTCAAAGATTGAGGAGGGCTGGGCAAAAAGGGAGGAATGCTATCTTTCAGTCCCCGGGGCTCCTATGTTCGGCAGGCACACAGAGGCACATGAACCTCCAGGAATCCCATCCCTCTACAGAATTTTTTGTGCATATATTAAAAGTCTATAGGATGAGGTTTAGAGTTTTCAGAAAACACGAAAGCAGCAAGTGATAGTTGGAACCCAAGGACTCTTGTGATGGACTCCAAGTGCCCTGTAACAGTAGAGGGGAGGATGCCACTGGAATTATAATATTCATTACCACCATCCTTCCCTTCTCCCTGATCCTCAGTGCCAGACAATATTATTAACTCTTCCCCTCCCCCTAATGTCTTATTATCACATCCTGGGAGATGAAGTGTATTCTGCACTGAATTTAAGTTGGTCGGGTCCCCAGCATGAACGTTTCCTACAGGACCTGATAGCTAAGGAAATGCCAGGAAAATTACAGCCACTACTGGATGTTCTGGAACAGCTTAGTGTGTCTGGGGCAAATCGACCAACTTATGTCTTTGAGTGCCAGCTTTGCCTTTGGGATCAGTGGTTTCAAGGTTGGACTGAGCAGGAGTGCAATGGATTTGGCAGGCAGCTGGAGGTCAGTGAGCCAGACTTTGTGGCAAAATTTTACCAAACCATGGCTGCTACAGCTAGTATTAAAATCAAAGAAGACAATCACCGTTAGAGTTGAGGTCAGGAATTTACAGTGAGACCTCAATTCAGATGTACCAGTCAAAGGTCTGGAGATGGTAAGCTGTTCAGCCAACTGCGCTTGCTGACAGCACAGGCATGGTCATTTTAACAGTAGTGTATCAACTGGATTCCTATTGTAAATGTTTTCCACCTAAGCAAATCCAGGTCATCAGTCTGTCTCCTAGCTTGCTTCTTTCCAGGAACCATCAAGCCTCCAGGAATTTAATGGCTTCTTTTGCATCTATAACCAAAAGGAACCAATGCATTATAACTCAAGCTTGTCCTAACACTGGCTCATGAAGAGTATAAAGTAGAACTCTCCTGGTATAGCTAGCTATAAGACATCCTGACCACTAGCTTTCCCAGTGATGATTAAGTAAAATTATGGAAAATCAGTAGAGAGAGAGAATTAGTTACTCCTTCCTCCATTGAATCCAAATAGCAATGGCTTTTTTCCAAAGCATATGTGATACCTTTGGAGCTGGTAGCAGGTGTTTCTGTAACTTTGCTCTATAATAATATGAAAACAAGTGACGCTCTTTACAGGTTGAGAGTTTATTTTTTCATAAGAAAATAAATAACAGATTTTCAGGGAAAAAAAAAAAAAAACCCACCACTAGAGCTTCCTTTTGTTTTATAGGAAAGAATTATATCAAATAAGCATCATTCTGCTTTTCTCGTGGAGGAAATGAAAACACGAGTCCCTAAGGTGGTAAGGGAAAAAGTATATCATGTGCCCTAGCATTCTCCCAGAATTGACTCGTGGCACACATATGGCAGGTGTGAGGAATCATTATGTTATTTTAATTAAAGAAGCTTTCTTTTATGCTCCCAGATCCTGAGGAAACATTTTACAGCAGCTCATACCAATGAACAAAGAGAAGCCATCCTAGAATGTCAAAGCTGGCAAGACCCTTGGAGATCATCTATACCACTGTTTTTAAACTGCAGCTGTGACGTACTAGGGCTGCAGTTTTGAAATTATGTGAGTTGAACCAGCATTTTTAATAAAAGACTAGAATACAATAGAATTGACCAGAAGCCTTGCATTTAGTAAGGGTAAGCACTTCTGTTTCATGTGTGTGTGTGTGTCTATGTGTGCTGGATAATAATGTATCTATTTCTTATTGTGTTGCATAGTTTTTTGAAAAAAAAAAAGTTTGAAAAACACTGATCTGCATTTCTGAGTCTTAACTTTTGGAAGGGAGTCACAAAGCCTTACATTGAGAATCCAGTGGAAACGAAAGACCTACTTCCCAGAATATGTATATATCCACAATTCTGTGCCTAATTTCAGGGGTGAGTCTGAACTCCTGGAAAAGAATCCCTGAAAAAGGCCACATCTATCTTTTTATAGCTGAAGTCCAGAAAGGTTATTATTCCCCATATAATAAAAGGATAGGGAAGGGCATGAAGCATCTTTTTAATCACCATCCCAGGTGTAAGGAGAAAATCCTTTCTGGCAGTGAGATGTGATTTTGGGGGAAGTGTTATTATTTGTATTAATAAAAGAGAAACTTAAGGTCAAAGAAACCAAAGAATGCCTTGAGCATAGATGTTCGATAAATATCTGTTAACTGAATACAGGAACTTGTTTATTTTAGACTTAGACATTCAAGTTCTTTAAGATTTGGTAACATTCAAAAGTAAGTATTATGAAGACTGGGTACCTGTTTTGCAATCCCTCACATGTGCCAAATTCTCTCTGGTACAGACACCCAGATCCATGAAGTGCCGTCTGATTGTCCCATCTCTTCCCATGAAAGTACATCCAACATCACCAGAAGATGTATCATCTTTATCTAAAATAGGAAGACAACTCAGTAATATCTCATACTTCATTCTACTGATGTTATTTACAACTACTATGTCAAAAATGGGGAGCTCTGGTAGCATAGTGCCTAAGGCACTTGACTGCTAACCAGAAGGCTAATGGTTCAAACCCACCAGCCACTCCTCGGAAGGAAGATGGGGCAATCTACTTCTGTAGTGATACTGCTTCGGAAACCCAAGGAGGGGTTGCTATGAGTCAGGTCCAACTCGACGGCACACAACAGCAACAACAACAACATGTCAAAAATGCATCTACAAACAAAGCTATGATTTTTGTTGTTCCAATAAAACTTGCACACATTGCTGAAAGCAAAATACGACTACACAGATGTCTTCAGTCTAAAATTTAAAAACTGTGAAAGAAGCATGAAACGTTTTGTTAGAAATAACAGATCCTGAGTTAAACCTATCTCTAAACTGTAGATAGCGCTCCTCTGATTCCCATCTTGGCTAAGGAGAAAGCTCTGTCTCCCTATGTTCAGAACACTGCCACTTCTTTTCATACTGGATCATTCCCCTTGAGAACCAGAACTAGTGTGTCACTTTGTACCATATCACTTAACGTTAGCTTCTAGAAAATACGAAGTTAAAATCTGTTTCTGTTTTGGTTACTTAGTGCCACTCCAACAGGAATATACCACAAATGGGATGGCTTTCAGAAACAAGAGTTTATTCTCTTACAATTTTGGAGGCTTTGAGTCTGAGTTCAAAGTGCCAGACCCTTGGGTGAAAGCCCCTCAACCCTGGGCTTCAGCTCTGCCTCCTGCTCCTGGTCCACTGAAGCTAGAGGCTTTTCTTCACTCAGACAGCTACTGACTGTTGAGGCTGATAAGCCCAAGGTTGACAAGTAAAAAGGTACAATCCCAATGTCACCAAACAACATGGTAAGCTACTAATTCAAGTCCAGAAGAAGTCCCAAGATCAGCAGGGCATGGCAGGCTGTTGAACAATGACTTGGCTACATGCAGGGTTCAAGTATACCATAAGCTACAGACCAGACCTTCTTCATAGTTGCTTCTTGTATACTGGAAGCAGACCACATCCCTAGAGCAGCTACTCAGCTGCTCCAATAGATTCCACCATGGAGTTAATTACCAGTCTCACCATGGGGAGTATTTACATCTAGCTGCCCAGCCACTCAACCAAACCCAGCTAAGTTGACACACAAACTTAACTACTACAGTTTCCAAATGAATATTTTGTTTAAACAGAGTACAAGAAGATGTTAATTATTTTTTTTAGCTACATCTTTGGCACTCTAAGATAACTTAAAAACAGAAAAATTCAGGAAGTACCAGGACTAACCCTGGGACTTAGACTTGACCTTTGTATGCAACTACCCCAAATGGTATGATCACTTGCTCAAAACAGCTGTCCATACCGTTCTCAGTGGAGTCTGAGTCTCCCAGGAAAACGAGATACCTTATTTAATTTTTAAAATTCTATTAGCCTCACTCAACTACCTATGTCATTCACTGCTCTTGGTCTCAAATGATGCTGGCTATTTCTAAAAATTAATCTACCTACAAAGGCTGAAAAGTTTCCACCACTTGGTATTCACAAGAATGTATGACAGATGTGGAAGGAAATTTCCAAAGAAAAATTGGAATAGTGTTGCATGGTGACAGCAGCACTGGACCTAAAGCAGTGCCTCAAGCAGGTCTTCTGAGAAACCACACTTGTGTGAGTTCAGATCACAGAAGGTGCTTGAGTATGGATGGAAAATCCCCAGGACGGAGCATGGACAGGAGCGCCAGGGCTGAGATGAATGGAAGGATTGATGATCTTCAGAGTCTGGGAGGCACTAGAAGTTTACATGTTTGTTAGAAAACAATCACAAAACTTCATGATTAGAACAAGGAAAAGGCCAACAGATTACATTTACATGCCAACTTGCATGGTGTGGTAGTGTCTCCTTGGACTAGACAAGTATCCTGAGGCCAAATCTGGCTTTGTAGAGAAGAGGGATACCATTAAATAGTGACGTCTACCGTGGTTGGAGTCCCTGGGTAGTACAAATAGTTAATGCACTTGGCTGCTAATAGAAAAGTTAGAGGCTCAATTTCATCCAACGGCACTGCCAAAGAAAGTCCTGGTGATCTACTTGTGAAAAATTAGCCATTAATAACCCTATGGATACAATACTCTGTTGTCAGTGATAACAAATATTAACCTATGGGTAAACAGATGGGTAGACAGGCTGAATGATCAGGTATATCCTGACAAAAGTGAATAAACCCATGATATATATCAGGTTGGCAGATAACACTTCTACATACATATTTGTATGTGCTACTAGAATGCCCAAATATATAATAGAGCTTACAAGGGCCAAAGTTATAACTTCTTAACCATAAGCAACCACCCTAAGGGAGTGAGTAGTTGGACCTGTGGGCTCGGGACCATGGTCGCAGGGCACATCAAGCTCAACTGGCATAACATACTACACAAAAACACTGTTCTACATCCTACTTTGGTGAGTAGCAACTGGGGTCTTAAAAGCTTGCAAATGGCCATCTAAGATGCAATGATGGGTCTTTCCTCATCCAGAGCAAAAAAGAATGAACAAAACCAAAGAGGGATGGAAACAATTATTCCAAGGGACTAGTGGACCATACGCTCCTCAGCCTATATGACCATGAGACCAGAAGAACTAGATGGTGCCTGGCTGCCTCCATCAACCACTAGGAAAATGATCAGTGCATGAGATTCTGGATAGAGTGGGAGAATAATGTGGAACAAAACCTACAATCATT